ATAGTAACTTATTGTACTGAGCTATAAGGTACAAAGTACTTGATTGAGCTACCTCAATCATTTAGTCAGTCGCTTAATTGGGCACGTATGAGTTTTCTATCGCATCCGAAGCTACCAATTAAATTTAACGAGTCAAGTGTTGTCTTAATGCCGTTGTTATCGCATTAAAAATGTTACTATCAACTTAAATCATACTTAAAAGCTTATTAACCTCTCCTAAAATGGTAATCAGACCAATTTTTTACAAAGCAGAAACATACTTAGTAATTGTAGCTTTATTTTACAACGTCATTATTTCAAACGCACACTCAGTAATAATTGTTACACACTGCCATATATCAAATTCAAGTTGATAAAGCGGAAAATAATAACTTCCAATTTAAACTGATATCGGCTTTTGAAGCATGATTGGGTTGCAATCGAAGCAATGATAAGTGTGTTCAACAGTATTTCATCATTGGATGAACTAGCAAAATGCGTAATATAATATTAAGGCATCATTCCAGTCGTCCAATTTCCAACTTTGATACAAACATTATAGAAACAAACATTGCTCGTTGCCAATACTCTGGTTCATTTTGTTACAAATTGGATAAGAGCTCTTCACATAGAGACATAATAGGACGAGCTATGCTTGTGTAACCAATTTGTTTGGCTGAAGGGTTTTCTGAAGCAGCTTTATTCTCATATAATACCATTTTTGACTTTACCACTGTGCATTTTTTAGACATCGATTTACTAGTTGAATTATAGCAAAAGGAGATGAATGGAGCAGTTGCTAGTGCGTTTGGTCTACAATCGTAGAAGTTAAGCAACTTTTACAGTCGTCGGTAAAAGGATGGCTCTCTACTCTCTACCCGTGAAGATGCACTGGGCCCGCATTTTTTCGTCTACGCACAGTGTCTCTTTCTGCCCCGGGAAGGCCTGACCCACTACTGGGGGCATCAATATATTGATGGTAACGAAGAAGAAAACTTAAACATTAGTTCTCCAAGGTAGAATTAATATTTTCGGTGATGCTAGCAAGACAGGAAACTAACAATCTAAGTTCTTTGTAATGTTTGTTATTAACTTAGTAATTGTTAATACGAAAATAAACATTGGCTTTATAGGAAAAATTGCACACAAAATAGCACATCATGAACGATGTAAAATGTCAAAGTCAGCAAAAGTTAGCCTAGCTCATATATTAATCACTAGCCAATTGTATCCTAATGGATTTGTGATGTGAGTTTGGTGAAATGGTAGCTCTCAAAATAGTACAGCTACATTATCGGGAAATGTCAGTCAGTAGACAGTTGTAAAAGCGACTTTGGCTAAAGCGACATTGTGGGATGCACTACATTATTGATCATTCTAAATTCCGAATTAAGTGTTCGCATCCATTATAAAAGAATGAGACGTTTTTAATGTTTTTGTTCTTTCTATGCAAGGCAGCAAATTTTTTGTCAAACGTGATATTAAGTTTAATGTGTAATAATTAAAAATAAAGTCCACTCAAATGTGCTCCTGTAATTGAAAAGTAGTGACAATGATTATAATAAAATACACGTTTTTAATGATGTGTCTTATAGCTTAAATACATTGCTCCTATTCAGTTAACATAGAAATAATATTAGTATTCCATAAAATATATCGAAGAGTTATTACGCTAAAAAGTTCTTGAATACCAAAGTATATTAGCATTTAATTAAAAGTAATGGATTACTATATAGATCATTTTAAACGTAGGGATTTCCACTTAGGTAAAAGATGAGGATAAAATAAGAGTAATTTAATTAGATATGATACGCTGCATACAAAGATTGACCAAAGAGAAATTGCCTTAGCAAATAGTTTACCAGTGAAATATCCTACGAGTATAACGCATGCAAAAATTTACCAGGGAAATATCCTATAACGCATTCATACAGCGTTTTAAATTTTTCTGTAAAAGCACATAAGTTGCTTTTCTGAATATTAGTAGATCAAATAGGTCCAGAAACAATTGTAAGAACTTTTGTTTCATCAAATTTTAAAACTTCACTCTCTGAATAGTGATTTTAAATGAGTGTTTGCACTTGAAGTCCTTTTCAAATACTAAATAGGTAAACGCGCGCGACTCTTAGTTTCAATCAAAAAATGTTTTAGCAGACTAGATAATCTTTTGTTTGCTTGGAGTGCTTTCAGACTTTGTGTTTGTAGACGCGGTCATAGCGTAGTAAAATAGCTTTTTATTTTTGGAATTTTCTTGTCCATCTGGCATTTACATATTAAACGCAGTATTTCCAAAGGAGAAAGTGCCCATTTGAGAAACTCACCTTCACATTACAGCACTGTGAAGTTAAATAGCGCTTCCTGTTGATGGTATTATGTTTTTCTTTTTGTGCGAAACTCTAGTAGTTACTTAAATACAATATCACAAATAAAGATTACTTGATGGTTATTTTTTATCTTTATGTATTTGTTATTTTATGTTTTAGTAACATGAACTGTGTCAAATAGTAATACTATTTAACCACAATTTATACATGATTTTAACGTCAGCTTAGTAGAATCGATACCCTGGTTGGATTAGAATTGGAGCTGTACATTTTACTCAATAGCTATCTTCGCAATTAGAATTATACAAATGTGTAATTTCAATTGTTAGTTTGTTGATGTTTCTTCTTTTTTACAATGATAGCATTGAATATTTCGAAATTGGCGTCGTGGCCGTACTAAGATTCCGAGTTAATCTGTGATGGGGTCAATATAGGAGACGAAATTTTATTATTATTATAAATATGTAGTACAGTTATTATTTTGTTTTCTGAAAATTCGGATGTCTATAAGTTTGGGTCTTTTTTAAACAATGACTCATTAACGCCAGTTCGAGCGGTTTTAGGTAAAATTAGGCACATGTCTATTTAAAATTGTTTTAAATGTTCATGATTACATAAAAGTAATTTCTGAAATAACTAAGAGTTACTCCGTAATTATGGCACATGCAATTGTTCCAAAACGGGGTCTCAATACGGTACGGTAATCTCGCTAATTACATAAATTACCTGGATTAAAGTATAAGGTTCTTTCTCACCCGGAAAAAGGCGAGCTTTCAGTGGAATTATCAAAACCCAAACTTACAGAAGATCACAGTAAAATTACACAACCTATTGGTGGTGTTATATTTCTGTCGGTAAAAAAAGTTTCAAGGCTCCACGGGGTGGGAGATTGGGTCAGGGTAGGCAACGGAGATTGTGATATTAGTATCCCATGCATCTATAGGCTATGATGACCGCTTACCACCCCGCGGACCATATGCTTGTTTTCCACCCTTTTAACATAAAAAAAAACATGATGATAAATAGACAATACGAAGATCGTTGCAATTTTCCTTTGCAGAAACGACTTCTCAAGATTTGTTGACTTCTCTAGTCCTCGCATATATTAAACAACGCAAGCCGAATCCCATAATTTATTTAGCTCTTTGATTGCTGATTTGCCATCATAAAACTCCACTGATAACATCAGAGAAACAGTCAAAGTATAGTAGAGCGTATAAAATACTGTCTTTTAACGTCAGCTACATAGGTTGATAGATACTTCAAAATTTTATTCGAAATTCTTCAAATAAAAATCTTCATACCCTCATTCTACTTTATCAAATGAGTCGATATTCTTCAACTGATATTGGCACTCCCATTTTTTTCTCACAAGCCGGCTTTCATCTATTTGCTTCAGTTAAAATTTCTATTACTATTTATCAATATTTATATAATGTCTTCGCTAACAAGAAAGAATGATTGACGCTTCTGATGGCCGTGACACCGCCGATATTCTGTCGCGCACCTATCCTTTCAAGACGCTAATGACATACGATAAACATGATATGGCGCTAACAAGACATGAATTTTGCCCATTATAATTTCAGAGGGATTATAAAGCGGTTGGTTCATGCTGGTCGTTGTCATTCATAAGTCCTTCAATATCGATTGCTTGCTCAAATTTGTAGACATAATAAACTACTTACTGTACTTTAAGAACCAAGTCATGTCGATGCTAAAGTATTTAATAAAGTTTCTAAAGGGTCTATACATTATATCATTTGTTTTTTAACACGTGAAATCGCAACTGGTTTAGACGCTGTTGCTCTGGAAATAGTTTTTTTTAATCTAAAAACGCAATTTAGATTAATGAAGCTCAATTGCGTTTTTAGATTCTAGATCAATACGTTATCATTGTCAATCCTCATTAAAAAAAACTAAGAAAACTCCCAAAGATGATAAAAGAAAGATCCATCAACCGAAAAGTTCTGAAGAGGTCAGGTTACTCAGGATACTCAGGGTACAATTTGCATTCACAACAGAATTAGCCGAATTAACCCAAACAAAAGGATCTGTAGGTGGAATACGGGAATTAAATAAATTTAAACTTGTACGGTTGGTGCAAAACGACTTCTCTACCCTTAAAGTTCACAAGTGCCCCGCCCTCTGTGGAGCTGTACCGTCAAGCGTGATCGTCGAGAATTTAACCGAAACACGCCCAGGAGTGCGCTGTGCGAATATGTTATGCTCAACTTAATAGTTCCACTATGCAAATAACCTCTTACCTTTGTACGGTATTTTATAACCACATATGTTATGTATGCATTTGAATTCTGCTCGCTTAGCTAGTATGAGGTCGCTTAAAAATACATGTAAGGGTTATCTTAGTTTCGGATTAGAGGCTCAGCTAACTTTTAATAGTAATAATGAATGTGAAGCTACGTTTTGAAAGGACAGACATAGGGTGGTAGACCGAATAACAATTGTTATCAACTACCAATTGATAATTGTTGAAATTAATTTTTACTACATTATGTGTAAGTATGGTTTAGTCTCTCTATGAGGGATGTTGATACACTTATTTAATAATAATATATTAGGCCATAATATTCAAAAAAATATTTGCTGGCGTATTCGATGTTGCGCTTTCTATTTAACCGATTGATGTTACGTCAAAAACATAATCTCTAACCAACATAATTTTGTTTGTTCCAGTTTCCAAAGAAGAAATTAAAGAAGTTGAAAATCAGAACGGAAACCCGAAGTCGACCAGATATACAACAGTATCCAAGTAAGTAGTTGACTGTCACGTTTATCTCTTATCAGTTTTTCTAAGACATTAAGGTACCCTTTCTCATTTTACAGACTTGGTAATAGCCAAATCAAAATGTAATGTTGGATAATTCGATACGCATACACTACTTAGAAAAACTAAAGGGATTTGCATGAGACTTGCTATACACGAAACAAAAGAAATGAAAAATGAAAGCAAGAAAGAATTTCTAAGGAATATTTTATTGGTAATATAACAGCCCCAAAGTGAAACTAAAATCTAATATAAAAATCCATATTCTAGAAAAACTTAGGCAGGATAAAACTAAATAGGATCCATGTTTTAGTGGAAGTAGCAGTAATATATAACCTTTATGCTAAAAATATTCTGAACTGAGTATTATCTTGGTTATCTTATATAGAAAGAAATCCTTCTTAGATGAAAGTTTACTTAGACAAAGAACAATATACTGCTTTACTTTTATCACACGTTAGGAATTTTATACAAATATTGGATTTTAACAAAGATCTTTTTCACGGTCGTCGACGCCGACGCTGCTGCTGAAGTGATCTCCGCAGCTTCCAATCCCTACCCGAAAATTACTTCCTGAGCTAAGGAAATTCCACAAGTTCTTCAATTAGAACGCCGCAAGATCACACACAATCGATTGTGCTAGGAACCCCGACGGTTACGTCGCGCTCCCGACTTCAAAGTAACTTCACTCACGCTCCAAGTTTGTACGCGACAAACATAAATTACTTTTTGCAAAATACTTTAAGTATAGGGCTTGTTGAATTGGAAGATTTTCCGGGTTCGTGTTTCCAGTAGAAACGCTGCAAGTTCATCTTGTTGACGAGTCACACGGCTGGGAACTTTATTTTTAACGCAATCACTATATAGAGTTTGATGTAAAATATTTTCACGGCAATTATATTATGAGAGTATTGGTTTGACAACATTACGAATGAATATCATTAAAATTTCTCTGAATACGAGCTATGATAATTATGTCTGCATGCTGGGTATCTCGTACAAGCAGCGGCTGGACAGGCAGTAACCAAGGAGAAACAGGAGAATCTTGTCATTGAACTCAATCAGGCTTTGGACCACATTTTTGGGTACCAAGAACTTGGTTGAGTTCAATGTTAAGAAAACCTAGGTCTACGCTGTCACGGCAAAAATTTTGTCATTCTTTTCATGTCCTTCTCTTCAGGGCACGACATTGGCGCTAGAGAGCAGTATCACCATGCTTGGTATGGAAATTCGCTGTGACTTAAATCCCAAGAATTACATCAAAAGTGTGGTAAAAACGGCCTCACGCAAACTCGGAGTCTTGAACAAGGTGCGGCGCTTTTTCACGCTCAAGCAACTATGCTTGTTGTATAAGGCGCAGGTGCAGTCTTGCGTGGAATATTGCTCGCACCTCTAAGTTGGCTCCGCCAAGTACTTGCTCGATGCTTTTGATAGGTTACAGCGGCGCGCGATCCGCATAATAGGCGATGAGGAGGTGACTAAACACCTCGAGCCTCTTCAATTACGTAGTGACGTGGCGTCACTAAGCGCGTTCTATCGTCTGTACCACGGCGAGTGTTCTGAGGAGTTCTTCTCTCTTATTTCACCTTCCCCTTTTCTTCAGAGGACCACGCGCGATGGCCTACGTTATCACCGTCTAGCGGTGGCCACAATTCCAACGCGTAGAAAGAAATTTGATGACTCATTTCTTTGTCGCACTACCCGTAAATGGAATGCTCTCTCCGCTCACGTGTTCCCTCCTTCTTACAACCTGGGATCCCTTAGAAGAGGCGTGAAGAAGCAACATGCAGGCCGGCAGGGTGAGGATGGCTGGTGTTGCAAGTAGAACTGCTGTACCAGCTATCTTCACGTCTAGACTTTACCGTCACTGAACATCAGGTGGAGTGGAGTCATTTGTCGGACCTATCTATAAAAAAAAATCATTTAAAATCGTATCTTCTGAAAATAATTTAAGGCATTATATCAACCTTGTCAACTCTTTTTTTACCAACACTCCCGAAGCTGTGTTATCGTTGAGATGAATTTATATTCTGTAAGAGTACCCAACAAAAACAGCGTGCCCCAAGGCTCAAAATTGGGCTCACAACTTTTCTTTATTTAAATTAATGACTTTTCTCGCTTATCAAGACATGAAATATTACTTTTAGTTAATGAAATTGCTTTATTATAACTATAATTTTATGACAAAAGAAACATATTTTCTTTGAACATATCTAAAATTAATCGTAACGAACCTAATTTACGAACCTACTGAACAACTACATCTCTGCCCCGTTCATCTCCACCCGTTTTCATCTACTAATCGGATAGTATTAAATAATTCGTAGGAACTTTTAATATTTGAGATGTGGCATGAAACTTTATATAAATGTCCTATAATACGTCGAAAAACCCAACCGAAACCCATGACAAATCACAATAAATTAAACTTTTCGCCGAATAAATGGCAGATGTCCCACTACTGAACACACGACAGAGGCGCGCGCGTTCCAAAACTTTTAGCCGAAGTCTACAGACGACGTCGCAAATTTATTTATTTAGTTCGGAGACAGTTTATAACTCGTGTCACTCAAACTTTTAAGGGGGTGATGTAGTTTCGACTGTGACTTGGTGCGTGAAAATGCCATTACCATTTATGGAACAATTAACTTTGACCGAGAGGGTTTTGTGGAGAAAGGTCACTATGACATTCATGATCCATTTTAGTTGACTACTTTTTTGAATTATGGAAATATTATTTTCGAACCTTCATGATACAGGTGATGCGCGGATGAAACTTATAGTGACCTTTAGGTATATATAAGCTGTGATTGTCTCTTAAAATATTTTTTTGATGAAATTTCTAGTAAAATAGTTTATTACGGACTACTTGCATCACCATTCTCATTTCAAATAAAGGCTTATACTTATCTTTTGACACATCATTCCATCTTTGTCAATTGTTTAAATCAAATAGAGATAGAGTAACCATTATACACGTAAGCTTTTAAATATGATTTAGAATTTAGATACAAGTGGGCTTCAATGGGACGGTCAATATGACATTCTAATACCAGCGGCCCGCCCTCGCTTCGCTTCGGTGTAGAGCTGCAGTGTAGACTACAGTTTTCATTCTCAGGCTTGTATTATACACAATGATATTCATTTTTGATTCTTTTTATACCCGCATGCAAAGTCTCAGCCCGATCGGTTTAAAATTGACAAAGTTTCATACAAACTTTCATTCCCTATTTTATGCCCTTGGGGGTAGAATTGATCAAAATCCTTTCTTAGCGGATGCCTACATCATAACATCTACATGTATGACAAATTTCAGTTGATAGATCACTATGGCAGTCAGTTACCTTTGAGTTCTATATATATAGATACATTACATGAAAAATATAGGAGATCTTCAATTGCTGTTTGTCAAACAAATTCAGATGATCTTCTGAAAATCATATTAACTGTCATAAAAACGACTTTACTGACAATTTTTAAATAATAGCTTGGGCTACTTGTTTCACTGTACGACTTACTGTACTGCAAACGTAAATTTAACTGTTTTCGTTGTTTGTCTTATCTTGTAGATATGTACTACATTAAAGACAGTGTAAGCGGTGCTTGAAGCAAGATAAGAACATAGGATTATAGCTTTCTCTGTTTGCAACAAACTTGACTTTGCAACAAGTCAAGTCTCACACTTGTCGGTGCACAAAAGTCGTGATGTAATTTCATTGTGTTTTTCAATATATAGTCACTAGCACTCAAATTAAATACGAGCTCGTTCTGCTACCGTGAAATTAGGAAAAAATGGCATTTGCTGAGTTTCTTAAATCATCTCTGAAGACTTCATGAATCATCTCTGAAGTCATTTTTTAATTTGACGTCTCTGTAAATAATAAAACAGGGAGGAAAAAACTGCCCTTGCTGAGTTTCTTGCCGGTTCTTCTCAATACAAGGTCTTCCGCCGTAGTTTGGCGAACCGATGGCGTAGCTTCTAGACATTCATGAGTGCTTGTAACAGCCTAAACTGAATAAATGATTTTGATTATGATTATCAATCTTTACTGAGTGGATACACAGTACCCCTAGCACGAACCAATATCAAATTCTTATCGTTTGCGAGTCCGAAATGTCATTGTCAAATGTGTACTGATTTTTAGTTCTCGATGCGTACTTTGTGCCGCTGCTGTTCAAGTTTCCATACAAAATTTGACATTGACATTTCGGTTAGCAACAGTTTGCGAGTGTGAAATGTCATTATTGATTTTGTTCATGTATGTCATCGTTGACGACCTCCATGGCGGAGTGGTTTGTACGCCGGGTTTCATGGTGTCATCAACTGGAGAGGTCCCGGGTTTGTGTAATGAATACGAGCATTTGTACTCCAGTCATGGATGTTTAATATGTATTTCTTATAAATATACTTATATATGTACAGTATATGTATTCTATCCATTACCCTAGCATCCCATAACACGAGCGATGTGAGTGGTGGAAATATTTATTTATTGTCATATTTTGTCATGTCGTAACAAGAACTTAAAATCAGTACACATGTGACCATTGTCAAATGTGTACTGATTTTTTGAAAACGTCTTTACGTTTAACACTCAAACTATTCGAATTCGTTATTGGTTCGTGCTAAGGTAACTGTACAGATTCGGTACAGAAACAAAAACGAGACGAGCCAGCGCCGACTCGGTGAGGACGACACTTAATAATAATAATTATTATAATGTTTATTGTTATACACCATAGGAAAACACACAAATAAATTAAAACATGATAAATAGAACGTACACAATATAGGCGGCGGGTTGCCTGGAAGAGATTGCTGCCTAGCAATAAGCTAGCAACCCATAAAAGAAAGATAAATAAATATGAAGGAGATAAGGGGGGTGTTATAGAAAAAAATGGGTGCGTGTACTTATGTAGGCGCGTGAGAAGTTATCCTTCTTTGGCATCGCTTAAAATTAGTTTTTAATTGCATGCAAATAATT